CCCCCCATCCCTCCTTCCCTCCCTGCCTCCCTGCCTCTACAGGGTTCCTCCTCTCCCTGAAATGTCCAGATCTCCCGTGACTGACCCCGTCACCTCTGCCTGCCCCGCTCCTGGTTACTCTGTCAGGAAACACCGTCTGGCTTTGGAACAAGCAAATAGGGTTTTGCCTTCTTTGGCTCCAAGGCCTCTAAGAACCACAGGCCGTCTTGGCCTCATTTGAACCACTTGCTCTCTTGAGAACAGAGACCTGAGGAGAACCAGTCCCAGGAATGGGGCACAGCTCAGACGGGCGCGGCTCCTGCCCCTGCCCCGGCCTCCCATGTGTCAGCTCAGGGAGCCCTCACTGCTGGGGCGGCTCCCCTCCTCCGCCAGCACCAGGCTTGTACTTTGGGTGGCACCAAGCAGGTCAAACTCGAGGCCTGCGGGCCCCATGAGGCCCGCAATGAATATCTTTGGGGCCCAGCCAATAAAACGGTATGTAAGAAACATTTTAATAACAATTTTGGAACTTAATTTTTACAATATCCTGTTATACATAATACTATATAATAAAAGGCTAACATGCAAGTGGACTGAACAGCAGAACAACCGGTCGCTATCACAGGCGCTGACCACCAGAGGGCAGATGCTCAACGTGGGCACTGCCCCCTGGTGGTCAGTGTGCTCCCAGCCAGAAGCTGGGCTTGGTAGCAGCACTAAGGATATCCCCCGGATCCAGGGCTGTGAGAGAGTGCATGCAGGGCTGAGGGACACCACCCCCCCCACCGACCCAGTGCATGAATGTCGTGCACTGGGCCTCTAGTTATTAATAACGAGCTACACGTTTGCTAATGACTCATGACTATAATCATGTTGCATTTATTTCCCTATGTGCCTTACACGCAGGTGCACCATTTCTCTCCACTGACCCTAGCAGCAAGTATTTAGCAGCCAATCACCACGTCATTAGTCTTGTTTGGTGTGTGCAACAGGAAATACTTTGCTTTCGGAGAAGAAGAAAAATAGATTTACTTGTGTGACACTTATTAATTTGTGCCATTATTCACTGTCTGGTAAGTTAATGTTCAAGAAAAAATTAATTTTTATTAAAATGTTCTATTATTTTATATTAATGATGATTTATTTATTTCAGCCCTTTGTTTTTTAAAAAATATATTTTATTGATTTTTTTACAGAGAGGAAGGGAGAGGGATAGAGAGTTAGAAACATGGATCAGCTGCCTCCTACACACCCGCTCCTGGGGTTGCGCCTGCAACCAAGGTACATGCCCTTGACCGGAATCGAACCCGGGACCCTTCAGTCTGCAGGCTGACGCTCTATCCACTGAGCCAAACTGGTCAGGGTTAGTTCAGCCCTTTTATTCACATGTCTCGATCGAAATAAACCTCCATGTCTATTAAAAGTGAAGCTTTTGTTCTTTTGCGACCACATACACTTAAACCTTGTTAATTGGCCCGCGCTAGCCTTAGAGTTTGACACGGTTGGTTTGCACTTTCAAGTCCCAGTTTAAATGTGGGCTCCAGGGCGGGCCTCCCCTCCCCGTACTGGGTGGGGTCCTCCAGCTGCAGTTCCTGGAGGCCTGCGCTCCCGCTCCCCTCCCTCCAGCTTCCTGGTCCAGAGCCGGCAGAGCCCGCAGCGCCCTCCGGCCAGCAGTGCCCGCGCC